AAAAAAAAAAAAAAAAAAAAAAAAAAAAAAAAAAAAAATTAAACAAATACATTGTATGGAAGGAGGCTACAGTAAGTTCAGAAAAAGCTTTAAGAGACGTAGCCACCTTAAAAAAGTTGGAAAAACGACCGGTACCATTGTTTAATTTTATCAGAAATAATAGAATCATAGTGATATACCGATAAAATTAAAATAATTCAAATCCAGATTTGTATTCTTTTTTTTTTTTTAACACAAGACTACAGGACCAGACACATAATTTCAAGACTCAAATAGGAGAAAGGATGAGAAGGAAAAACATAATTAATTTCCATATACCGAGACCAAAGACTTCTTAAGGTGATATTTAAAACTATTTAATGTGAATTTATTTTTTACGTCATCAGAAATATTCGCCCATAATTTCGGACCCCCCAAAAGAACTGCAATATGCCTGATACATGTGCATGGTGTACGCGAAGTATAATTGTTGCTAGAAAATCTTGTATTATATTGATACTGTTCAAATGCTCTTGTATATAGATTACTGATAATGGATGGTAATAATCTAATTATCATCAAGTTCATCATCTTAATCATCATTTTCATCATCATCATCATCACCACCATCATCATCATCATCATCATCATCATCACCATCATCATCATTATCATCATCATTATCATCATCAGCAGCAGCAGCAATAGTATATTCACCTTCCTCATCATAATCATCGTCATAAAAAAAACACACATAGTTTTTTTGTAGTTTTATTAAAAGTCTGCATTAATAGTCCAAACAATCAAACAATCTCAATTTACAGTAGGCCCTATACAAGTTAAGTTCAGTTCTAAATCATTATCTTTGACCTTGGCATACCGTAAACTTTAATTCATTTAATGATCAGGACCTATAAGCGCTTCTCTCGGATTAGCGCCGCTCTATAAAAATAAAAACTTCTCGCCAAATATAATTTGTATATCATCGACAAACAGCCGATTTCGCATGAAATTAAGATTAATAACTTTAGAACAAAGTCTGTACAACACATGGAACTGTTCTAGCTTTCCTATGATTTATAATAATGCCGCTTTTGAATGAATGCCTCTCTGGAATAATATGTGCCGCATTGAAGCTTCCAACATAAGCGTCGCGGCGCTTACTGGCCCATTAACGGTAGACATTGAACTATGATATTTAGAAGATCTTGAACAGTAAACTCCTAACAATATATGTACCGTATATTAAATGCTTAACATAGTTTAAGAATAAGACATAACATTAATGCAACAGAAAATGATATGCATGTTAATTGAACCCAAACGCATACTTTCATCTACACTTTAGTTACATAACTCAGTAATTTGATTATAATTAGTCTGTAACCAAGTGTGTGTGTCACTGTAACCATTTGCTATTTATACTGATAGAAGTTCGGGTAAAAAACTAATATCAATGTTTAAAATATTAATATAACCAATCAACAACTTATTTAAACAATAATTCATATTTGTATCTTTAAAATTATTATTATATACATCTGTTTTGAAATTATTTACACACATGTAGGAATGCTTAACAATTAAATACAACTCATTTATCTTTCAATTATATGAAAAAAATAATAAAGAAAATAAACATTCATTTATGAATAATGGCTTTATAAGTCGTCGTGTTTATGATATATAACTTTTTCCTTCAAAACAGACTGATAAATTTGATATAAAAATGATTATTTACAACCAAAGTAGATTAACTACTTTGCATTAAATGCAGTATGTATTTTGCTTACAGAATCGTTACTTGTTAATTGTTACTTGATTTATTGAAGGTTGCGTTCACCAACTATGTTTGCCTTTACGTTGTACGCTGAAAGTAGTTGTAATGATTGAAGTTACTTTCGAACGTTCGCTTGCGCCATTTTATTTGACAAATTAGCACTTACAGGAATTTCAAACAAGCAACTAAACACCTTGTATACATTTAATTCAATTTGTTGCCAGTAATGGAACATTTTGTTATGGCACGTGTTATTCCTTCTCTTAAATGTTATAGCTAATCCTTTATCATCAGGATAAAATGATTTATAATTGACGGACTTTCCATTACAGATTCTTTCATCCTGTTTTTAGTTAATGGAGCTTTCACACAGGTGCGCGTAGTAGCTGCGCATGGAGTATGCAAATGAGGCTACGCGCCACGTTATATCATTTAAAGGATATAGCTCTTTGTGTTCCTTTCTACCAACCAAGGCAATTAAACTGTAGAATTGCGATTTTGTTTTAACAAAACTTTAAAAATAATAACGTCATCAAAATAAATTTTGAAGTCATATTGAATTCTGATACAAGAAAGATTAAGATATGAAACGATAACAAACATGTCTGTCTGCATATAAAACAAAATTAAATATAAGACGCATTGCATATCTTGTAAAAGCAAATATATTCGACTTTGAACGCTTTATGCGATGAAAAAGTAATTCAATTCAATATGATATCGCATAAATAAAATAAATCCTTGGTAAATGGTTAAATATCTGATATTTTTCGAAAGCGAAGTAATTCAATCTAGCTCTGTTTCTTTCCTGGTTCCTAATTGAGAATTTCTGCTTTTATGTACTTTCCGATTTTATTTTTATGTAATAAATGATATTCCATGCCACGTATTGTTTTGAAATTATTAACTTACAGATCCCTTCGTGTTATAGAGCTGTCTCTTATACACATTATATATACTTTTTTCTTCTGTTTTGCATCAAGAATAAGATTATACAATTATTGTGCTATAAAAGTGCCGTAGTATGTTGGGACAGAGATTGTATTAAACAAGATCAGCTGTTCACAAAGGACCGTCCGAACGATGAAGATTACCATCGTTTCCATTAGAAGCATCAAACATATGCATGTCATAAAACTTTTTAGAACTTTGACGTTTTTACATGGAAACACACAATGCCTATCTCTATGCAGTATCGCCTAATAGTGTACAGTTGTGTAATGCCACTTTACCCACTTTTACGCTGTCTGTTTATTCTCTTACTAAAAGTTGTTAACAATTCAAATAAAGTTAATCTCTAATTTGTTTAGAAAACCTTTAGCAAATACAATGAGACTCACTGCTATTGAAACGGATTAGTTTAACGACTGAAAGCTCGTAAAATGAACTGACATTTTGATTTTATTAATACTTTATTTCTAAACAAATACGTAATGTTGAATAAGACCCATAGCTTGTTGAAATCCAAAAATATTACGGCTCACAAATACACCAAAAGCCTTATTATTATTTTTTAAACCATAATTATAGATGACCCTTCCAGTGAACCCTAGACGGTTGGCTAATATTCAAGGGCCCTCTTAAGTAAATGAAATAATATGATGCTTTTTTATCAGTGATGTTACTTTATTGCTGCTCCACGTCTTTGGAACGCTTTGCATTGCTCCGTCAATCATATTAGATCTATAAATGTGTTTAAAAAAACTTTAAAATTGCATCTCTTCACCGAGGCGTATAGAGAACCTTGATGTTCCTCTGTTGAGTTTATATTATTTAAATGAAGAAGAAAAAAACCAAAACAAAACACAAAAAAACAAAAATTAAAAAAAAAAAAAAAAAAAAAAAAAAAAAAAACATGATACCATTTTACTCTGTCGATGCAATGTTGCTCCTTTTGCAGTGCACGGTAGTGGAGCCCTGGGCTTCTCCCGGGGTGGAAGGTGCTGATGCTCAACATACTGCCTTTGAGTATCTGCGGATGTGCGCTTTATAAATCTTTATTATTATTATTATTATTATTATTATTATTATTATTATTATTATTATTATTATTATTGTTATTATTATTATGAGGTTTAGGAAGTGGAACTGTTTTTATTCGTAAAAAAAGTCTTGCTGACACAGGAATAGAACTCAGGACCCGGGCATTACAAGTCAAGTATCTTAATCACTAAATTTTTAACTCCATTTCAACACACATGATTGTAGCAGAAAATGAGGTTTTCCAACTAAGAAAACGATAACGAATAATAGGTACGTCATATTTTTTATAAGTTTATAGGCCTATGGCCTTTCATCTTGCGTCTTACGAGAATCACTATGATATTCGTATCATTTAAAGCATATTTACTAACTATACGTGATATTAACATCAATAATGTAATGTAGTATAGTTTACAGGATCTGCACCCAAAATAAACTCATATCGCAAAACGTAAAAGCAATTAAAGATGTCCTGCAACCTTACCCAAACATTCAGGACCTACTGTCTGGTAAAGTCGTCTAAAGTGCGCAAGGTCCCACAAATCCACGGCGTAAAACGTACGTTAACTTATTTGATTGTGGGACATGCGCATATTTCAGAACCTCTTCTGATTGATTGATTAGTTAAGTTTGACTCGCTATAAAGGCCACTGATGTTACAAAAATAAAACCCACTACCTGTTCGTCATCGTTTCCACAAGGCTGTGACTCTCTCACTACAAAAGGATTCCCTACTACTGAACACTAACTACTACTGAACACTAACTAATAATTCTCAAACCTCATTTATAATCAATGTAAAAATATTATATTTTTTTCTTAATGAACTGGTAACTGCTTAAATATCAACATTTTTTTCAGAACTGAGTGAATCGGGCTAGGTTATTCATTGTTATTGTGATCAAACAACAGCTGTGGTAGGCGCAGGTTAATTTGACTCCTTGGTGAGACCAGCAAGACTTGTCGGTAGGAGGGGACCTCTGTTTTAACTTACAGTTGCGTGATACTCTGGTCACAGAACGTATAGTTGAGTGCCAACTTCGTCTCTGCTTAGCTAAATTCTGACGCCTGTTTTACTGGCGGAATCTGATAATGACGACTATTCTTGAAATACATAACAAATTAAACGCTAAAAAAATATACTGTATCTTTAATCAGAAATATAGGTAATACTTTCAAGAAAGTTTGTACGGTTTGCTGCTATGGATACCAGCGGTTTGGTTCGTTAGGCCCTGGCTGCAATCTGTGAAGCGTCTTGTCCTGAAATGTTGAATTCAAATATTAATATTGATTAACAACGAATTACTTATTTGTTGCCCTTCCAACTATTTCTATAAAATAAAACAATCGGCCCATATGAAGCCCTTGCTGCTTCCACGGCAATTTTAATAACCACTGTGAGTTTGTCGCCCTCTGTGTGAGTTTTGACCATCACAGAGGAGAGAACTGGCTGCAGTAGTTTCAACAGAAAAATTCTGAAACAACTACAGTCGGAGAACCAAATACGGCGTTCAATAGACGCTGCCCCAGAATCCGTGTAGTAATCACAATGAGCAGTACAATATTGCTTTCATCTAAGATTTTATCACTGTTTTCTTAAAGAGAGACAATCTAGTACGAACCACAGATTATTGACAGCTGCGACGTGCCATTATTCAACGTTGGTCCAATGGATGCTGTTGCGTCTGCAGAAAACGAACGGGCTTTGGTGGTGCCAGGACGACCCAACGTCCGTGTATTCTTTTCTGGCTGTAGGAGTACAATGTATACTTTTGGCCCGAATAGACAACACAGCAAGGAAGTGGCACTTAACATCACTGCCAGACTCATCATCATATCTTGTATCTGTAATTGATGGAATATCGCATTTTAATCGTACTATTTTTTATAGCCGAGTGACTAATGCCAACATTTTGTGTATCTGATTAAGAGCTTAATTAATCATTACTGATCATTATTGATTACAGATTCATATTCATTTGCTACTTTACTAATACACACGTCACTTCCCTGAACTAAATTACAATCTTTCAATGAACTGGTTTATTCACGTTTTTTTTTTTTTAATATTTTGCTGATAATGAGGATGAGGGGGAATGGAAAATTGCAAACGATGGTGGTGATGATGATGATGATGGTGATGATACTACAGTATTATCTTTGGCCTAATTATGACGAAACAAGAATTTCCGAGTTGAGATTCATCATGCTTGCGTCGAACGAGGCACGTGTACACTCAGATTATGAAGTGTACAAACTACCGGTAAATCTAGGAAATCAATAAGTAGCCCTGTTCAAGGTGGATTGTTTGCCTAAATATATGTGATGTCCAACTTTCTCTAGTCACTTCGTGTTCTTCTCGTTTATTTGTTTTTATTTCAGGCTCACAAAAACATTACATAGAAAAAGATTTTCAAAGCAAAACCATTCAAAAATAACAGACGAAAACATAAAAAAGGTAAGACGAAATCAGACAATCCACAGAACAGGAACAAAAGAAAATGAAATACACAATTATACGCATCAGAAAAATAAATGAGGTCAGAGGGAGCATTTGATAACCCTTTAAATCCGAAGTTTGTTTCCAAAGGGGTCCAGATTAAGATTAAGATGTGGATCTGTCGATGATGGGCCATTTAATATTATTATTAATTTGAACCGTGAGCCATGCAGCAGAAGCTGGTCATATGGACCCCCTTTTTGTATTGCTGTCTTGTGAGTTTTCAACATCGACAATTCTCTGCTGCTTTTATGTTTGGATGGAGGCCAATTGAATGTAAATGTATGTTTGTGATTTGAGTATCGAGTTTTCAATACTGTTGAGTGGGATTAGTGCTTCACATTTCCATTTGTAATTCCAATGGCTTTGAAAAATGGCAAGGCACTTTTTTAAAGCAGACATTCAAATTTGTTTCGGCAGTTGTCCATTTTGGTGCGTAGGAGTGGGTAGTTATGGGGGCTGTAATGATGCTGCCCATGTCTCTGCAGCTGTAACTAACAAGTACAAAGTCAAGTTAGTTGTAACTAACTTTGGCATTGTTTTTTTCTTGTAATACCGACTTTAACTCCTTGATGCGAATGTTTATTTATACGTTTTGACCTTTGACATAGCCATGCACAATTTTATCTACTAGAGGGATGTTTGATGAATTTCCATAGTTTGTACGGCCATCATTTCTCTGCTGTCCGTCGCACAAAAATGTTCTAGGCCTACTTGCCTAGTACCACCGATGGCAGGTTTAAGTTTTTACAGTCAGTGATGATGGGTTTATTAGCATCATCGCAGACACTTGATTCGACATAATATCTTTGATATTTGCCATAACATATCATTAGCCTAATTTGCGCTAGAACAAGACGCTCTTTCTTGACTTGCAAACAACAGAGGTTTACCGTTCACATATGTTGTTATAAAATAAGTTAGATCATAAGCCTATGCACAAAGATTGAAAACGTTTTAGATGATTTAGACTTTTTCAAACGACGAATTTTACATTTACTACCAGACAACTGAAGAGGCTATTCATAATAGCTTGAGGGATTCGATGTTGTTATGAGGCGAAGAACATAATGTTCTTGTTTTATTTTTTTTAAAAAAGAAGTTAATTGTACAAAGTTTAGCAATTTAAATATTGAATAATGTTTGTTGAAATCTGCTAGCATAGAGTTTATCTTTAAATGAATTACGTTGATTTCTCTTAATGAAGTTAACAACTGTTTTAATAACGAGATTTCTAAAACAGTAAATTCTATGAAGATATAAACGTTTATAGCAAATAATAATTTGGAATGTCATGAACTTGTTCTTAACTTCTTCCGCCAAATTAATTACGCATAAAATAATAATATTACCTTATAATCAATAACAGAAGTTCCAAGGTAGATAGGTATGAATGCGATCCAAAGAATACATGAAGCATACATAGCGAATGCAATGAATTTTGCCTCATTAAAATTCTCTGGAATTTTTCGTGTTTTGAATGCGTAGATAGTGCAAAATATGATCAGCAAAAAACTGTAGCAATTAGAGACAAGAAGCATTTTATCAGTTACTTGACAACGCAAAACGACTTTGTCTCTCGTTGGGTATTGCTCTACGGCTGCTGGTGGATCGATCAACAGCCAAATTGTCACCAGAAACACTTGGACAGATACCAAACACCCACAAATTACTAGTTGAGCACTGGGACCAGCGAATTTAGGTCGCTTCACGGTGTGAAGGCAGTTATTAAAAATTCTAGCTATTCGATTTGTTTTCGTTAAAATGGCTGCATAACAAATTACAGAGCTGAGTCCAAGACTGCATCTCAAAACACCACAATTGATATTGGTAGGTGGGGCCAAGATGATGAACGGCAACGCATAACAATAGGCAATACCCGTCAGTAATACATAAGTAAGTTCTCTACCAGAAGCCCTGATGATCGGGGTGTCATTGAAGCGCAAAAAGATAGCAATCACGATACCCGTGAAAGTTAAGCCTGCAGAAGCGACGATGATGGATATCAAAACACCAGGATTTCCCCAAGTAGCAAACTCTGCAGTTATCTGTATGCATTCAGTGCGGTTAGCATCAGGCCTATACCCTTGCTGACACTCTGTGCAACTGAGTTCGTTAGCTTTATAAGCATACTCTGTACATTCGGTACAGACCCAGCAGCACTGACTACCGCCTTGGATCTTCTTTATCTGGCCGTGACGACATGGCTCCGAGCATTCTGATACTGGTTCGCTGCCATCGTTCCATGCCATCTCGCTCGTATTTAGCACCAGATGTTGGTCTTTCCACTCTCCAATTTGATGGTAGGTGTATGTGCTTCCTCGTTTCTGGTACTGGAAAATATGGTACCGCCCAAGCCTGTCTCCATCTTTGTTGAAACTAACTGTTTTCGTTCCTTTCCCTGTATTTAAAAATTGTGAAAGTAGAAACGTTAAAACCATTAAAATTTTGATCAATATGCACAGTATCTGTTTCAATCCAAACTAAACTTTTTCCTATTTTATTATGTTATTTTTGTATATATTGCTCTAATTCAAAATAATTAACTCAAAACAGTATAGTCAATCTTAAATCTGTCAGTCACTGCCCATGAGAGACCAAATAGCATAAAGTTAGTAACTAGCCTTTCCCATTGATATACAGTCAAGACATGCGAGTGAAAAAAAATGAATTTATATCTAAAAAAGACCAACATAAATTACTTATACTGTTTGGAAGACTGTTCCAATAGGTTATGGCAGACGGGAATTACTGATGATTGATTTGATCGGGTCTTACATTATGGTACCACAAATGGCATTGAGTGATTACGTTAACTACTACAGCTGCCATGTTTGACTTAAATGCCAGAGTATAAAATAATATGTTCAAATCCGAGCAGGCGAATGCGACAAAGAAGGTTTGTGAAAAAAATTAAGATTACAAAAATGTTAAATAACAGTAAGGCAGATAAACATTAAAATCAATATTACTTAAAGTACAAATTAATTATGAATTTAGACACTGGATCATATTATGTAGCATTACTTGGGGATAGTTAAATCTTGAGTTTTATAAAATGTATTTTTTATAATTATATTTTATTATAAAAGGAAACCCTGATAATTTATCTGATGAACATTCTCATAATACCAGATTTAACAATACTTTTAATTTATCTATTCCAAAATCTCTTCGTTAGGCAAATCTAGAGTTGGTTAGAAATTGAGATTTTTTTTTTCTTATTCTAAGTATTATTTCTAGAAAAAAAAATTATGCAATTACTGGAACAGGTTTTTTGAAAGAATATTATATATCTAATAACGATGCCTTTTATTTCTTTTTCTAATATATTATATATTTTGCTTAAATTTCTTTTGGTTGTTAATTGTATTATCGTTGTATTTCATTGTAAAGAGGGTTAAACTCGACTAGAGAAAGCTATCTTTAATGTCCTATTGCCAATTTTGTATTATCCTTTTCACTTGTTTGGCAATAAAAATTTAAATATTTATATAATTGTTACAAGAAAAGATTTAAAATGCCGTAGGTACATCATTACATACAATTACCAATTGGAAGATACGAAACGGAGGCAGTCAATCAACGTTTTCATTAAGCAATCCCAAAACGCATCTTCTAATCGGCGAAATAAAGGAAGAGTCTTTGTTGTAGATCAATTACAGATGAATGTATTTTACGTTTGTTTTGTAAGATTTTTTTCTTATTTTTTGACGCGTAGTTAAACTAAAATGATTGTACAAAGAAGGAATAGTATATTCCTTTCAATGTTCTATGTTGGTAGGCAACAAATTATAGTAGTGATTAATGAGTAAATCATTAAACTACGTATATATAATGAAAGTAAATGTAGTATAAAGTAAAAATATAAGTAAAGTAGGTTTTGTAAGTATAGTTATGAAGTTTGGTAAGTAAATTGTGTAAAGTAAGTAAAGTAATTAAAGTAAGTAAAGTAATTAAAGTAAGTAAAGTAAGTGGAGTAAGTAATGTTAGTAAATAAATAAGTAAATAACGCGTCAGTCAGTAGCCTAAAGTAAGTATAGTAAGAAATATACGTAAAGTAACTACAGTAAATAAGGTAAGTATACAATAATAAGCAAAGTAAATAATGTAAGTATCAATATAAAGTAAGTAGGCCTGTAGTATTAAGTGCACACACAGTGGGTATACCACTATTATACTGCATATATGTAAAACCCAATTCAATATGGATTGAATAATTAATCCAATTTTGATTTTAGATATAGACTATCACTGAAAAAAATCTTAATTACATATACTGAATTAATCAAATGTTTGGTATTTATAGTACATACATCTATGCAATTATGTGTCAATTTGATAAAGGGAATAATAGCTGAAGATCTATTAGGTTGGTTTATCACTGTTACATTCTTAAGCACATAATATTAACAGTTAGTTAGGTAGTATGGCAGTAAATCGATGCCTTAACTACATGACGAGAATGTGTTTCGTATTGTACCGATTCATTTACAATTTTTTTTTTTTTTTTTTTTTTTTTTTTTTTTAGAATGTTAACAAGCCAGGCAAATCTCGAACGTATCACATACAAGTGAGGTTTATTTTTAATCTAGACGATTTTTTTTTCTAAATTCCCGAATAAAGACAGACACCTTTAAGCCGAGAAGTGAGTGCGTCGTATAGTCGTACGACAAATCCAACTCTACTCTCTGTCAGCAGTAGATGACGCGATGCCGTCTGTTGATTTTCGGTGGTGGCAGTCTAAACGGATCATCATTAAAACGATCCGTTGCGCGCGCGTCGTGGCGCGCTGCGTTTTGCCATTAAATCGCGTCAGGCGCAGTGAGTGCCCGGTGGACCAGACTATATAGCCTGGTTCTCACGAGAGCCCTAGTATCCGTATCGGGAGCTAACCGTTAGCGCTAATCGTTAGCACTTGCGTGAGAACGCCCGATCGGTTTGCGCTAACCGTTAGCGGTATCCGGATACGCTAACGGTTAGCAAGCACTATCGATTAGCAAGTTGAGGGCGTTTCTATCATCAACCAATAACACGTACACGTTTACAATTTCCAGTTTCTTATTGGCCAGTGATTCGATCATCATATCGTTGGTATCCGGATCGGGATTTTCTCGCATGGACGCACGGCAGCTAACGGTTAGCAGGATCCGGATCCTGCTAACCGTTAGCTGCCGTGTGAGAACATAGCCTTTGGCTACGTTCAGACTTGGAGATAAGCCAGGCTTGAGTTAAGCCCGGCTTAACTTTGCCGGGCGTTCAGACTAACGGGTTTAGCCAGGCGAGAATTTGCATAATAATGAACCGTAACCAGGAAACGTGTTTCAAAACATTGTTTGCGAAACGTACGCTCGCTCACAGCGTACGTAATTGAATGCTGATTGGTCATTTCGTCACCCGAAGTCAATGCAAGACCCCCGCAACGATTGAAGCCCGGCTTAGAAAAAAGTTAAACACGGTGGCGCGCTAGGCCTAGTTACTATATGAAACACAGCCTGGCTTGAGATTATTCCACCTAGTTCAGACTGGCAGTCTGAACTAGGCTTATAATGTTTTCATACTGAATATAGCGCAAACTTATGTTTATCGAATTTTGAAAACCATCATGACAGTGTACAGACATCTTAGTCATCGATCAAAATGGAAATTAACAAGGTGTGTAAATTCAATGCAGTTGCAAATGCTTGGAGCGTTTAAAACACGGAATTGTTAAGTTTCCAAATGGCTATTCGAACGTGGTGATTTGGTGAACTGTTCGTACCTCGTAAATTATTTGATTGTCTACTGAATTACGAGACAAATACTGTTACTTAATCTAAGAATATAACTGCACAGACGTGATACATAATATATTGCATGTCGCTTAGATGGAATTTCATTAACACAAATTCAGTTCTTCAAAAGCATGTCAATAAAGACATAGAGCATGCTTTTTTTTTCTTGTACTACGTTTCAATTATTCAAAAAATAAGTCTGTGTTTGCATTAACTTTCCAATGAAGTTTATAAGTCTTACCTATAAATTCAACTTGCTTAATGTACTTCAGCAACATTTCACCGTTGAGGGCGTTTTCTACTAACGTTCCCGTGTTCTCATTGTTGGACATATTTTGTAAAGCATATGCGAACGCATACACAGAGTCGACCACAAATGCAACCTTGTCTTCCTGAACAAAATTTTCTCTTGTGAATATGGAGGTAACGTCTGAAATATAAAACCCCATCTGAACTTGATAAAAGAAATTTAGATGTAAATCGCATTGTATTGTGGTTTGTAAGATTCTTTTTTATTTTTATTTTGTTGAATACTTTCGAAAACGCTACTAGAATATAATATATTAATAATAATAATAATAATAATAATAATAATAATAATAATAATAACAACAACAACAATATAGTAAAGTTTAGGGAAATCCCCGTTGTATATCAACAATATGAAAGAGAGTAGGAACTCTTAAAATTTTCTACATCCTGAAATGTCAACCATGTTCATCTTCATTTTGATTAACCTATTATATTGTTTTACACTATTCGGAATATACAAGGAGTAGAGGCATGTAGATTATGATATATATATATATATATAGAAATATAGTGTTATATATCTCTCTCTCTCTCTATATATATATATATATATATATATATATATATATATATATATGTATATTTATATATACATATATACGTATATGTATATATATGTATATATACGTATATATATATATGTATATGTATGTGTATATATATATACATATATATAAGATCATGTTGCAATCATGAATATATCACCGTAAATGGAAGAAAGAGAATATAGCAGAAAGATATTTTGTTAGTGGAAAGATAGAAAAACAATAATACTTAGGCCTATTATAAACCGATTCACGAACTAAAATATATAGGGCCTAGGCATATTAAATTTTTCGTTTTCGCAACTCCTTCGGCGCTCCATATATTTGTTCGAAATATACCGCGACCGAAACGAAGCGTGACCGAAACGAAGCGCGACCGAAACAAAGCGCGACCGAAACGAAGCGCGACCGAAATGATCGGCTACCGTATTGAATAAGGACATAAAGAGGCCTATATCCTCTAGTACTACAGAACTAGCTGAGCATACAGCCTGCTAGCCTAGGCCGTAGGGAGGTCCTTTTGTTGACCAAGCTAAAAAATGGTCCGAAGAATTGCCATCTGTAGGTATTGAATTATTCGTTTCATCTGTTTCTAACGTTATTTGCGTAATAATTTCGGACATAAATTATTTCTTTATTCATAGAGGCCTAGGGCCAGGCCTAGGCGTAACTTTTATTATACAGTACTAATCATTTCTAACTAAGTTAGCCTTAGCCTTTAGGCTAATTAAATTTACATCTAATTTTATTCGGCAAAATAATGCCAAACATTATTATAAATGTTTTACATCCATCATAACATTTTTTTTTTTCTTTCAATAATTTCAGAAATATTTAATAGTTTAACATTCCCAAAAAAAAAAAAAAAAAAAAAATTTAACCATGCATACAAAATTAAATATTTTTTTCATTTCAATTCATGTGGATTTCAAATGCATTTAACATACGTATGCGTAACGATAGGCTAAAAATATTTTGGCATTCCTGGTGTGAAATGAATAGTTGATTTCGGATGTTGCCAATCTAAAATAAACAGTTTGACTGAAAGAACTGAACTAATGAAAAACATTACAACCAATATTTAATTTTTATATTATTTACTGAACTTATAAACTTATATTTTTTGTCATTTTTATTTATTTATTTACTTTATATTCTGTAATTGAATTCTCTATTTTTTAACATTTTTTTTGTACATTAAGTTATTCCTTAATTACTACAGAATGATGACAGTAGCATTTGTTTTGCTTGTCCAGTAATTTTTCTTTACTCATTTATCTTTTCAATAATTCATTTTTAGTTCCTATGCATGTAATGCAATAGGAACTATTGTAATCACTCTTGCTATTTCCTATGTTTTTAGTTCCTATGCATGTAATGCAATAGGAACTATTGTAATCACTCTTGCTATATCCTATGTTTTTTATTGTGTGTAGTGTGTATGTGTGTGTGTAGACATTTATGCAAATGCGCATGCGTCAAAGAAAAGTTTTCCGACATTTTGTTTTACATCGCGATGCGAAGATCGATGTGAAGTTTCTGCAGAGTTCAGTCAGGGCTCACGCTAACCGACCGGAATGTCGGCATGGATGAAACTATTTTGGTTTTACTGCAAAAAAATCATCTGCTGTAGGCATAGGTATTTTGAAGAAGGCCTAAAATAAAACTAAAATGTTTTAATACTTGCTGAAATACATCGTTTCTTCATTTAGATCTCCATTTTTCACTTAGTCCATGCATGCGACGTTTTTTTCTGTTGTATACGTATGAGTAGTCATATGAAGGTACTATATCCCCGACAGTTGGCTGTGCAGCAATGTACCCTTTGAATGCAAACTGAAAACAGGTGAAAATATAAAGGCAGCCGACTGTCGGGTACATAACGACTATCTAGCTTTCCACAAAAACATGAGGCCTAAGATAGGCCTAGTTCAGTATTACTGCGATGCAAGGGTA